TAAATGTGGGCCAAAATCATCACAATTAAAAGACCCAACAGCTTAAACTACTTCAGTCTGTGTGTACTGAATTTATATAATACACGAGTTTCACTATTTGAGTTGAATTACTAAAACAAATTGACTTTTCCACGACATTCTAATTTATTGAGATGCACCTGTACATTGTCAACCATATTCTGCATAATGACTACTTTTGGTATACTTTTGGTATTTTAATGCTATACTTTTATTTGACATTTTCAATGCAGGACCTTTGTTTGGCATCAGGCTGGACTCAGATAGCAAAACTCAAGATACTAGTCAGAAAAACAATTTAATGAATGCACAGAAAATCTAGTAGATGAACACTGATACAGGGCACTAGAGAGTCTGGAGAGTCGGGCCTGGGTCCGAGATTAGGTGGCAATACGGGCGTGCATCTGAGAGGACAGATAGGGAAAAGGTGGTTAAACATTCAGTCAAATGGAAACCCACAAAAACTGGGAGAAGTCCACCGGCAGATGGTTTTGCCAGGGGAGGTGGAGAGGTACTGTTGGCTCGAATGTGGTGCGGACTGGTGTGCTCAGTGGGAGTGTAGGAGAGAAGACATATACATAAGCATTGTTTACTACCTGTAAATACTACTTATTTTGCTATATTACACAGCCTTATGCTGGTTTACTGTTTACTTGCCCCTTGCATGGGGATATGTACAGTGGGTACGGAAAGTATTCAGACCCCCTTAAATTTTTCACTTTTTGTTATATTGCAGCCATATGCTAAAATCATTTAAGTTCATTTTTTTCCTCATTATTGTACACACAGCACCCCATATTGACAGAAAAACACAGAATTTTTGACATTTTTGCAGATTTATTAAAAAAGAAAAACTGAAATATCACATGGTCATAAGTATTCAGACCCTTTGCTGTGACACTCATATATTTAACTTAGGCGCTGTCCATTTCTTCTGATCATCCCTGAGATGGTTCTACACCTTCATTTGAGTCCAACTGTGTTTGATTATACTGATTGGACGTGATTAGGAAAGCCACACACCTGTCTACATAAGACCCTACAGCTCACAGTGCATGTCAGAGCAAATGAGAATCATGAGGTCAAAGGAACTGCCTGAAGAGCTCAGAGACAGAATTGTGGCAAGGCACAGATCTGGCCAAGGTTACAAAAAAATTTCTGCTGCACTTAAGATTCC